ATTCCCACATGCCTCGATGGAGCTTAGCAAATCGAACCAATCCCAATACGCATGTACTCTTACATCTCCAAATTCGAAGCAAATCCCACTCCCATGTATCCTAAGTCTCTACATAACACTCTGATATACGTGCATATCTGTCTATGTTTCCAGGACCCACAGAGAATTTTTGACATAAACTTCTTGACTACATAACCCCTTTATAGTGCTTAACAGTCAGCATCTAGCTCCCATACTTTACAGTTTAGATCCTGTAAAGTTATTCAAAATTCTCTCTCTTTTTTTTTTTTTTTGTTTTTTGGGAGCAGTTGAATGTTGCACTTATACATAAGTATATTGTGTGGAAGTATAACTTTATTGTGAAGGAGCGTATATTTATTGTACCAATATACACACTGTTTGAGTCTCAGATTCTTCAATTATTTTACATGCATGGGACCATCAGAGAATTTTGAATTTTTGAGATAAATTCTTTTACCTTTACCTTATTGTACATTAGTACTGCCCAATAGTCAGCAGTTCCCATATTAGTACATTTTGAATTCTTGCAATTTGTAGGAATAAAAAACTCTAGAGACACTTGACAATTTCTTTTGCTTTAGCCAATGCACGATGCAAGGAATTTTTCTTTTTCCACCACCTTTCGAGTTTATCTAGATTGGGTTAAATATCATTTTTCTTTCTTTATATTCTTTTCTTCACCTTTGTTGACAAGTGGCAGGCATGTTAGTTCCCACTTTTACTACCAAAACCTCTGTTTTTCTCTTGGGTCAGTCTGCCAGAAGCTCTGAGTTGGTGAAGATTCTTGGCATGGCAAGCCGGAGGAATTGTACTATTGTCATATGATGTTTGTATGTTGTTACATAATACAGATGCAACTTAGTTGAAGATTGTGTCTTCTATTGTGATCAGCCAAGGCTCATCAACTAAGTCCTGTCAGCTCCATAATTACTTTCTTCATCAGCTAAACATCATTTTGCATTCTGGGTTGCTTTCTTTTTGGGATTCTTGATCCAATGGAAGTGGGAAAAGAAGCTTCTGTTTTTTGTTATGTCGTTTTATTCAGCTTCTTGGCTTGTTCAAACGCTTGGCTTTCTCCTGACGGTGTTAATCCAGAAGGTAACTATAATTAGTTTTGTAACTGAATTTTTCTGTTGTGTTGTGTATCAATTCAGTACTTTCTCAATGACTTGATTAGTATCTCTGAACCATGCTTCTTTCCCCCCTACTCCCCAATCAGTGGCTGCTTTGATGGATATTAAGGACCTTCTGAAAGATCCTCATGGTGTTCTAAACTGGGATAGAAATGCAGTTGATCCATGCAGCTGGTCTATGATTACCTGTTCACGTGATACTTTTGTCATTGCCCTGTAAGTTATATGGTTTTGTATGTTAATTAAATATTTACAAATAATTAGATGAAGGTTCTTAGCTGGGGGAGGTAGAATTAAAAAAGGCAAAATGTATCTGCTATTTTCAAGATTAGCCTTCTCCTGAAGATTTTCTGAAAATGGTTGAATTGGTGTTGTTGCAGAGCAGCTCCAAGCCAAAGTTTGTCTGGCTTGATTTCTCCTAGCATCAGGAACTTAACCCACCTTCAGACTCTGTGAGTACTGCACCAAACAAAGAACTACGCCTTCACCTACGTAATAATCAGTAGATATTTTATTTATTTAGTGGTTTCATCGCACCGACCTTTTTTGCAGGCTTCTGCAGAACAACAACTTATCAGGACCTATCCCCTCTGAGCTGGGAAGGCTCCCAAAACTTCAGACAATTGATATTTCTGATAATCTGCTCACTGGGGAAATTCCTCCTTCTCTAGCTCAACTGAAAAGTCTCCAATACCTGTAAGCAACCAAATCCCAGTGTATACTTGCCTTTCTTAAAGCATATGCAATTGTAGAGTAAAAGAAATTGTGTGCCAATGGCTTTTTGCAATGCTAGTGCTTGATTTCTGAAGATATTTTCTTCTTTTTCTTCTTTTTGTTCGTTTTTTTGTGGGGTAAATTGGACAGGAGGGTAAACAATAACAGTCTCACAGGAGCTATTCCTTTGTCATTGATGAATATGACTCAGCTGACATTTCTGTAATCTTCTTGACCCTTTTGCGGATCTTATAAAATATTTCTCCAGTTTCTCTTCTAGAACTCATCTCTATTTGTGCTGTTTTTCATGTTCTAGAGACTTTTCTTTCAATAATTTGAGTGGTCCTGTACCAAAGCTGCCTGCTAAAACATTCAAGTAAGTTTTCTGAAAACATTTTAACTCTCAACACACTTTGGATTGATATCATAATTATGACTAAGTTGCTTATATTGGCTCAGCATTTTGGGAAATCCAATGATATGTCCAACTGGGAAGGAGCCAGAATGCAATGGGACAGCTCCGATGCCTCTATCCTTGCCTTTAAATAACTCCCAAAGTAAGAAATTAGCGCCTTCACTTAAATCAAAATGTTCCTTTCACGCCTGGTTTCACATTTTATGCATGGACTTCCGTTAAAAGAATTTCTACAATCTTATGTGTCATAGTTCAAGCTTAATTTTATGTTCTGTTGGCATTTTCATGTCTAAATGAGCAGATATTTGCAATTAGCTGAAAAATCCTTCCGCATAATCCATTCTTAACTAAAATGTTCTTTATTTGCTAAGGTCTTCAGCCTGCAGTTAAACCTAAAAGTAACAGAGTTGCCTTAGCCTTTGGAACAAGTCTTGGATGCATCTGCCTGCTAATTATTGGATTTGGTTTCTTTCTGTGGTGGAGACAAAAGCACAGTCAGCAGATATTCTTTGATGTTAATGGTAAGGACCAGGAGGAATAAACAAAAGGAAATATTGGTTGTCACATAGTTCTGTCCTCTTAAAACAAGAGTTCTTCATAATTGCAGAACAACACCATGAAGAAGTGTGCCTAGGAAACTTGAGGAGATTCCAATTTAGAGAACTTCAGGTGGCCACAAACAACTTCAGCAGCAAAAACATTCTTGGAAAAGGTGGTTTCGGGAATGTCTACAAAGGCTATCTCCAAGATGGAACAATTGTAGCAGTCAAAAGGCTAAAAGATGGCAATGCCATTGGTGGAGATATTCAATTCCAGACTGAAGTTGAGATGATTAGCCTTGCAGTTCATAGGAACTTGCTCCGACTCTACGGATTTTGCATAACACCAACTGAAAGACTCCTGGTGTATCCCTTCATGTCTAATGGAAGTGTTGCCTCACGTCTTAAAGGTAAAACAATCATTTTGGATTTTCATATTCAGGGTCCTGCTGCCACTCTTGAAATTTTAGAACTCTGTCAAGTGTTGCTAAAGGATGGTCAATGGTAAATATGCTAGAAGTTGGGGGATTCAGGTGTTCCTTTATATCAAATATGGCTATTTGCCCATTTGTCTCAGGGTTTAGCAATTATCTATCCAGATGATGGAATTGATTTGTCTACTCCACAGCCATTTAAGAGTTTTTTAGCACCTTGCTTCTTGCTAGATTTTCCGTTTCTCAGCCGAGATGAATGTGATCGATACCATCTGATGTTATTCTATTCAAAACTCGCATGTTTCCTGCTGCTGCAGCCAAACCGCCCTTGGATTGGGGTACAAGGAAAAGAATTGCACTGGGTGCTGCAAGGGGATTGCTGTACCTGCATGAGCAATGCGATCCCAAGATTATTCACAGAGATGTGAAGGCTGCAAACATATTGCTGGATGATTACTGTGAGGCAGTTGTAGGAGACTTTGGACTGGCAAAGCTCTTGGACCATCGCGACTCACACGTCACAACAGCTGTAAGGGGCACAGTAGGGCATATAGCTCCTGAATATCTCTCGACAGGCCAGTCATCAGAGAAAACAGATGTCTTTGGGTTTGGAATTCTTCTGTTAGAATTGATCACCGGACAGAGGGCTTTAGAATTCGGCAAAGCAGCAAATCAGAAAGGAGCAATGCTGGATTGGGTAAGCTTGACAGGCACTTTTAAGGGCTACAGTAGAGGAGCATTTGAGGTCCTTTTTGTCCTTGTATCATTCGCATTTGGTTTGATAAAATCCTAATGTGCATTATTGCAGGTTAAAAAAATTCACCAAGAAAAGAAGCTTGAGTTGCTAGTTGACAAGGACCTGAAAAACACCTATGACAGGATTGAGCTAGAGGAAATGGCACAAGTGGCTTTATTGTGCACCCAATATCTTCCTAGCCACAGACCTAAAATGTCTGAAGTGGTTCGGATGCTAGAAGGCGATGGACTTGCGGAAAAGTGGGAAGCCTCTCAAAGAGCTGAGGCTACAAGATGCAGAGCCAATGAATTCTCATCTTCTGAAAGATATTCTGATCTAACAGATGACTCTTCATTGCTTGTCCAAGCAATGGAACTCTCGGGACCCAGGTGACATCTTCCTCAAAGAGGAAAAGAAAAGCTCCAAGTACATGAAAAGCACGAAACGTCAGAGAAAAGACTGACGTGCAACCAACCTGTGTATAGACTTCATAAGCCAGAAGAAAGCTCGACGATGAAGTAATGCCTTATGCAACCATGACTGTATAGTTCTATCTGAGAAACTTGCTTTTTGACCGTAAGTTGTATGGGCATTTTTCTTCCGTTTTTATTCTTTTTCTTCTTCTTTTGGTTTTCTTATTGGTTTCTAGATTGATTGGGAATTTTCAAGGGATTGTGCAATAAATGTGCTTTGTTAATCGGATTGAGTTAATATATGCTTCTTGCTGTGAACAATCTTGCCACATGGTTAGCACCAGTAGGAGCATTTTACCAGCACAAGTAACACAACAAAACAACTACTGGAGAGTAGCAACAATTTTAGTTATCAATTACGGTCAACGAAAGGGAGTACTTGACGGGAAGAAGTTACTATAGGCTGTAGCAAACTAGCAGCAGGAAATTTCAGTTCATGCTGCTCTTAGGCAGTTGCTATACATAATTATATGAATGAAACAATCTCCTCCTGCATACCCTCTGTGTGTGTGTGAGAGAGAGAGAGAGAACTACCTAGAGCTGAAGTCATTTTGATTCTTGCTAATAATTGTATAAGAATGTTTGAATAATGTACAGAGCAAGGAGCAAAAAGAGAAGAAATTAGCAAAAAAAAAACTTTGACAAGGGACCGCAATTTATGGTTGTTCTTGTACAAATATGACTTCAGCTTGTGCAGAAGCCCGTCTAAACCTCACCAAGTTAACCAACATACTCAATCTTCCTTCCGTAACGTAAGCACTGGGTGTGATAGTCATCACTTTGAGTACAGGTGCATGCTCCAACAAAAACTTGATGAACCCCATTTCATGCAGCGTCCCAGACACCTCAGTTATCTTCACAGTTTTGAGCTGATCGAACATGTAATCAGTTGGACATTCTTTCTCCCAAAAACCCAAATCAGAACCAACTACAGCAGCTGCTGTGTTTGAGGGACCCTAAACAGATATGAGGAGAGACATCTAAATGATTAGATAAGATACTTGGAATGAGTTGCAGTATAGAACACATTCTCGATTACTTACCGCAATATGAAGCTCTTTTAGATTTGGGGAGCTCACAATCAGACGAAGTACAGCGAGTACTTCATTCAGGTCTTCAAAGTTTACTTGATACAATTCAATAATTTTAAGATGGTGATACTTAATTGGAGTGCTTCCACTGTCGATTCCTATGCTGAGATACTAAGAGAAAGGAACAATAGATGAATTCAACAAGATATGATGAAAATAAAAAGTGTCCTATTAAGGTACATGCACGAGGCTCACTAAAAAGCCTTTACAATGTCCAACTTTGATGTAAAACAGATGAGTAAGTTCCACACAAAACTTACCTTTGTGAAGTATATTTGCCCAACAAGTCTTTCAAGACATGGAACACCACCAAGAAACTTATCAAAATTGCAGCTTGAACTTTGTTCAAAGTGTTCGGCTATATCATCAGTAATGTACATAGCAATAGACACGGCTATCAAGCGTGGGGTGTTCTCAAGGCAAATATCCATGAACTCACCCTCCAAGATCAAGTACTTCAGATTTGGAGCATGCAGAGCGAGCTCCAAACCATCAAAGTACGACAATGTCAAACTCTCAAGCAGTGGGCAACTTGAAATGAGATACTCAATATCATCCGGAGGCATGAGAATTTGTTGAAGATTAAGATACTTCAGACACAAGAAGCCCTTAAATTTTGGTGGAGGGTCCAATTCACACCTCACAAGCTCCAAATGAGTCAATTTTGAACACGTAAAAAGACAAGAGGGTGCCCTAAACCACTCACCTTCACCTAATTCAATGCTTAAGTTCCTAATACCCCTTCTTGAAAGAAAAAGCAGCCACTGATCTATATCAGGGGAACTTTGCAAGAATGAAGTAGATAATGCAAACTTGTGAATAGGTCCATCATGAAGAAAAAGAAAATGGGTGATGAAACTCACAAGTTTGTTCTCCAAAATGGGTCTGTCATAACAAGAGCTCACACATTTATCATTAAATACAAGATCTGTGATGGTAGTCCATTTATACCTCCATTTGCTTGACAATGCACATGTCCTGACAGCGTCCCTTATTGGAAGCTTTGTCAGGATAGTTTCTATGATGCTTTGAGGCAGATCACTAATCAAATCCTCCCTCAGATCATTATCCATCAGTAATCTTCACCAAATGAGGACCTGAATTGTAATATCTTAAATCCACCAATCAATTATTATTCGAAGTAAAAACTAATATGAGATAATAACGAAAAATGAGCAGGAATAGCAAAACCAGATTACACTTTCCCCTGTGAATGATCAAGCCAAATAAAGCACAAAATCTGAAATTCAACAAAGTCATGCTCTATTGGATTCCCCCTATATGTCAGAAATCTAATAGAAAGACCGACTTTTTTTTTTGGGGGTTTGGGGAGAAAGGGGTTGAGACAACAATTCATACACTTCCCTTCTCTGTGAAGCTTTATACTAAGTAATTCTTATTCATTACCAATTCATATACCCTAAAAAAATACAGAACTTGACAACCAATTGACCTCAATCTTCTCACCAACCATACCAACCAATGCTGATCATCTATCCATATGGCACATGAAATTCCAATTAGATAATACTGCTTTTATCCAATTCCAAGGATGACCCATTAAACATCATGCAAATTTGACACAGCCCAGATGGGAAAGATAACATCTTGACAATATATGAAGCTGACAACATGATCAGGACAGTAGAAACAAAATATAACAAATTTTACTTAGACAAACATAAAAGAAGCTTACCAGTATAATTGAGGTCCAATATATTCTGATACAATTGGAAAGTGTGAATTAAGGGACGCGTAGGAGCTCTGCTGGGCTATGGAGCAGAAGGAAGGAACCGAGAACGAGAAAAACCGAAGAAGCTGGCGACGAAGAATTAGAGAGGGGTTTATAGCAGGAGGTGGGGGAGATTTACTTATTTATTGGTTTGTTTAATTTGTCTCGCTTTTTCTTCTCCTTTTTTTCGTTTGGATTAATTGTTTTTAAGGTGTTTTTGAAATATTTTACTGTAGCACTGTAGGTAGATGAAGTTATTTTTTGAAATTGATTTTAGTATTTATGAGATTATTTTTTGTGTTTTTGAAATTATTTTTATTTGTATATTACTGTAGTATTGTGCATAAAAAAACTGTTTTTCATCAATCCAAATGGACTAAATTTGGTAATCCTTAAAAGGCTTGTGGTATTCTATCTTCTCTTTAAAAATAAAAGAAGCAATGGAGTACTATAAACTTTTGTGAGAGTGCTAATATCATCTGCATTTATGAAAAAAAATTACTTAATTTCTATTTGAAATAGCAATACAATGTGAAATAACTCATTGGCTAAAAAAAAATGAAATAACTCATTAAGCAGTTGGGAATTGGCCATGGGGTGCTGTTTGAATCAAAAGAAAGTAGGTAAAAGTTTAAAAAAATAAGGAGCATTCAAATAGAAAACTTAGCTAAAAAGACTTATTAAAAATAATAAGAGACACGTAGGTTTTGGTTGATTTTGCTGTGGTACAAATGCCTAATTAAAATTAAAATTTAGAACTGTTGAATTTGAGTACCATTTCAACTAATATGTCCAACAAAATACGCAAGGTAATTTAATATCAAAGCATACACTTCCAAAGAAACCATCCCGTCCAACTTCACAATATAAGGAAATTATGTCACAAATACTACTATCTCACAATATCAGAATGATGTTATTAACGCTTCACACGAATACGAATTCAGACCTAATTTGATTGCAAAATTCAGCATACGTAGTACTAAAGGCACACATATTACCAGAGTTACTTTAAACAAAAAAGGGCCTTGGATGCAGGCTTTGAAGAAACATAACAAAATCTTTTAAAGAAAAAAAAAATAATTGCCAGCTAAATCTTACAAAATTCATCTACATTTCCAATGCTTAATGAATGAGGAAACACCACCAGTCCCCTTTCCTTGCATGTTTTGACCGTCATCTTCTTGGTTAACAACTCCGGTTACTTGCACGTTAGGAGAGCTTCTTAATAAGCAAAGAACAAATGAAAGCTTAGGGTCCGTTTGTTTCGAATGAAAATGTTTTACAGGAAAATATTTTCCTAATTTCCCGTGTTTGGTTGCACAAAAGTTACTGAAAACATTTTCCTATGTAAAATATTTTCACTCATTTTATGGAAAACAACTTCCCTTCCAAACTTACTGAAGTTGTTTTCCGAAATGCATGCATCCTGCCTGTAGTATATTCCAAACTTACTAAAAACATCTTGTAGTATGTTCTTTTTTTTTTATAGTATAAACAGGAGGATTCGAACCCAAGACCTCTTCCTTACACTCCCTCCCCCGTACCACCCAACCCAACCCAACCCTCCCCCTAGTATATTCAAAATAAAAAAAAAATCTCATCCTGCTCATCCTATACTAGTAATTAATTATGTATAATAGGGACATTCTTTTCTAAAAAAACTTTCAACAGTGAGAGTGCAAGATATATGTCACAATAAGCATTGCATGTGATTGATATTTGACACTAAATGGCCAGCAATTTGTTTATTGCTTAAGAAGATATTTTTTATTCATATATACATTTCTCCAAGATTTTTTAAAGTTAAACAATGAGATAAATTTTCTTATTTTGCATGGGAAGAAGTATGTAGTTATAATGTGTAGAAAGTAAAGATAGAGATAAAAGTGAAAATATTTCAAAAGTTAAACAAACACCAGAAAAATGAAGTAAGAAAATATTTTCAATAAGCTAACCAAACACCTGAAAATGATGAAAGGGAAATGATTTTCATGAAAAATTACTTCCACGGAAAATATTTTCCCAAGGAAAACATTTTACTTCCAACCAAACAGACCCTTAGTCAAGACATTTGTCCCGTACTCTTTTTTTATTTATCGATACGATAAAATTTGTATAACCTAAACTAACCTATTCTAGGAGGGAAGGGAAGGGAACTCGATGTAAATAAAAACTCCATCAAAACTGGTCAATAAAAACCGTCACATATTGTGACAATTACCAAACCTAAGAAGGTTTGGATTAGGGCTGCAAACGAGCCGAGTCGAGTCGAGCTTTGAGTTAATCGAGCCGAGCCTCGACTAAATTTTACCAAGCTTGAACTCGAGCTCGAGCTCGACGAGCCGGCAATTTTCAAACTCGAGCTCGACTCGAATCAAGTCGAGCCGAGCTCGAGTTCGAAAAAAATAAAAAATAATTATTTTATTTTTAAAAAAATAAATAAAATAATATTTTTTTCTTAATAAATAATAAAATATTAAGGATATATACGTAATTTTACTATGAAAATAAAAATAAAAACATATATATATAATATACGTAATTTTATTATTAAATAAAAAAAAATTAAAAAAAAATATATATATATACTCAAGCTCGCGAGCCTAATGAGCTTAATATTCTAAGCTCGAGTTCGAGCTCGACTCGAGCTTGACTCGAGCCGCTCGCGAGCAAAATGATCTGCCAACAATGAGTAACATTAATCTGGGAGCAATAATCTCAAGGTATCCACAATGCCAACCAGTTCCGGTTGCAATTCCTCGTGTAAAGGGCAGCTGGATATTATACTTTCCAGTACCTAGACAGCAAATAACACCTTTGATCAGCTTCAAACGGATAAGATGACCAAACTTTAATTAAGTGACAGAATCTCAAAGGCAATTGCTGTGGGTTTACCATTGTTTCTTGCTAGTATAATGTATCATCAAGTATCAGTATTTGGAACTCTCGTCCAATGATACCGCCATCCCCTTGACAGAATATAGGAAAGATGTCCATCTGTGTCTTCCAATCTAAACGCCGGAACACCCCCCCCCCAACCCAATTAGGCTCCCGTGGGGTGGGTGTCCCAATTGCCATCCCTAATTTTTGATAAATTAGATAGAAATTAGACTTGGGTTTTGTCCAAAACCCTCCAGGTTGATAGGAAATTGGAAAACTCCAAATTTTTAGATATTATTCCAAAATTCTAATTTCTATAGTAGTAATCCAAACAATAATTATGGGACTTATTTCAATTCTTCATTCCGAAACCCTTTTACCAAACGCTGCCTTAATGTGTTTGGGTAAAACCCTATTGAATCCCAGTACGAGAAAAACCATTAATCTACCCCATCAGTACGGACACATTGAGACGAAGGATCGGGCTTCTCCAGGTTCTTTTATATCTTACCTCAAATACCATTATGTTCTGGGATTTGACACTTACAGCAAAAAACATAAGGTTTTGAGCTTTCGTCATGTAGAAGTATATAGCAACAACGAAGCTGGATTCGTCCAGCAAGAACAAACTCTAACGCGACCAATTATTCAGGATTTTACGTTGGGAACAGACTCGTGGAGAGATGTTAATGGTTTTGTAGGACAACTCGAGGGATTCAGGTTAGACTTGTACGAATCTTGTTGTATTACTGGTGTGATCTATTTTAAGGTTAATCACCAGGATTCTATTGTGGCTTTTGATTTAAGGCAAGAGGAATTTCAGATGGTTCCTCTCCCAGGTCCAGATGATACTGCTGATCGTGACGGTGCTGCTGAAAATGTCTGGCGTGTAGATCTAAGATTTGAAGTTGAGAAGGATTACTAAATGTTTGTGGTTGGAGGACGCCCGGCTCTGATGTTTTCCCAAAACATATACTAAAGGTACTTTTGGATGGAAGAAGGAGAAAATCCAAGTGCGAAGTGGATAATGGTCATTTTAACTTTGCCAAAATTTGTGCGTCTGCATGGTTTTCTTAGTGTTGAACCGATTGCCGATGCCTGGTATCTAAGTGAATCTGTTACTGTTGAACTGATTGCATGGGATCGAATTGGTGAGATTCTGTTTAAATTGACTAGATATGTAGGAAGCTCAACAGAAAAGAATGCCATCTCCTGCTTCGGCTATGATGTGGAACGTCAATGCATAACTAGATTCACCAAACTACATAAGAACTTGGTACAAGAATTCTACTGCAAGCATGTGGGTACATTAGTTCCATTGAGCTAGAATTATATATATATATATATATATGTATATTGGATCCGTTTGCAGAATTTTTCTGCTTTTATACCCAGAAAAGAGATTGAGTTTTTCTTTTTTCGTGAATTTGTATATGACATGTTACCGCACTTACACAAGGTTTTTGGTTTTCTATGCACCATGGAAAAACATTTCAGCTCTCCTAATCTAGTAAGAGTATTTCAATCAACATAAACAAATTAGGGGTACTCCTTGGACTTAGATCTTGAGTTCTAATCTCCCATTTTCCCTTCCCGTCTCTTAAATCGCATCTCTTTCCTGTAAAAGAAAAAATAAAAAAATTTAAGGGTACTGAGACGTTTTCATTTGGAAATAACAAGAAAATTCACGGGAATCCATTGATTGGTATCATCACCTTTTGATGTTATATTAGGTTTAGGAAATGGCAAGCAAATGTTTAAGAAGAAAGTTTGTCGAGTAAGCTCTGAGATTGTATAGAAAATCCAACTGAGTTTATTGAAAAGGAGATACCTAAAAATTGAAGATTCTCCAATTTCTTGAATGCTTTTGTCTGACTACATGTCTCTCTCAGTTGCCTTCTTTCCTCTTGATCTGTAGTTTATACTGAATTATTGCGCTCTAGATATAGCAGAAAAATCTCTTGAGGTGCTTTAAGTAGAAGTCCCTGAGATTCTTATTTTGACTGGTAAGGAGGAAGGAATTGTAAATAGAAAATCTTACGTTCAATACCTCCCACTTACAAAAAAAAAAAAAAAAAATTGTTGAAATATATATAGTACATTTTCAACATTTTGCGAATTTGATTTGATTTATTTCATTATAGACCCGTGATATGCTAATTGAAATCAAACTACAGGAGAAAAGAAACTTGAATTTCCTAAGATTTTCAGTTTCCGGTAGAAGACTACCCAAGAATTTACATGCTAATTGTTTAGCATTGATGCCCTTCGAGCACAATGAAACCTTTCATCTCTGATTTTGAAGGCATTAAATTATGAGCCACACAAATAATTTATCACGGTTTCTTGTTTACTTAACATTTACCTTCTTCCTGTCTCATTCTCCACTGATTTTCATTCTGCTAAAGAGTTTCTGGAAGGGCTTCAACGAGAAAATGTTTCTTAAGATTTTAAAGTAGAAAACGCATAATTTTGATCACCGACAAAGGTCCAATCGTGTCAAGTGAGAATGATGCTGTATAATTCCAGATTTGCTACCAAACCAAAAAAAAAAAAAAAAAAAGGAATCCCATCTAATTCAGCTCCTGTGAATCTGTATTTTCCGTACTAACTTTGATTGCATTACTTGCTAATAAACAACAAGATCGAAACATGATCCATTCTTCGCCTATGCCTCCATCTCATACGCTATCCAATTGCATTAAAATTTGGCCAGAGCCAAAAAGCAAGTGTTAAAGCTATAACAAGCATGAAAGAAAACAGTATTTAAGACATTCCTTCTCGTAGATTTCAGCCGTCCAACCTGTCTGAATTGCTCCAAAAAAAAACCCTAAACAAAGAAGTGTATATAGAAAGACAAGAAAGTGCCCCATTGGGCAACTCAGGAAGACTAGAATGCAACATACACAGGAAGATTGGGAGACGAATATGTTGTCAACCTTACACATTGCAGCATACTGACGAATACACCTTGGCCTAGAAATTTTGGGTGGTGTGTTCTTGATCTTTCCTGGCCACTCCTTCACAAAAATATGAAAGTCTCACCTTTCATTTGCCGCAATGTTCAATTTCTGGCACACTTCAGATTACCAATTTTAACAAAACTAAGTCTGGTTCCCAGTAAAAGAAGAGTAGTTTCCTAATGACAGGGTCCGCACGTGTCCAACTCCAACCAGGCACTAGGAAACAAAAATAAGTAGAAAATGGAAGGTCAATGCAAGGCCATGAAGATCCTCGCTGAAATGTCACTTAGAGCAACAAACTAACCAGGAAATGACTTGAGAGCTGAAGACTTAACAAAGACTGTACATGCAAACAAAAAATATAGACTTAAGAGAGACCATAGAAACAGTTGGAGGACTAACATCAACAGACAGAGAAAAAAGGACCTCATTTACAACTTAGAGAGACCAGAATAAGAGGAATGCTTTAGATTGGAAAAGGGCAAGACAGAGACATTCTCAAGCAGATCCTAAGTGGACGCAGAGTTTAATGGTTGAAACATCATTTCTGCTTTTGTCGATGCACGTGAGAAGCGCATCAATTCCTTTGCTATTCTCAGTCTTTCATTCAGACGAAGCTTTTCATCCTCTTCAATATATATTTTTTCGAGTGAAGCGGAACAGGCTAGTAAGAGCTTTATAAAGAGCACTTCAGGTTTCGAACCCTTGAAATATCTTATTTTCACAGTTTGAAGCCCATCAATTGTTTGGTTCATGCGACTTGGCTCTTCCAAATAATTCAGAACTGTAACATCATTATCTGCAACTGATTCAATCTACAAGAAAAGCAATGCAATATCAGTTTACTATGCAGCTCGTTTGTAAATCATCCAAATTGATTCACCGCGATTACCCAAATCTCGAACTTTTGTAAGCAGAGGGAACTCTGCAGTAAGCAAAGAATGCAAGCAGTCTGGTCCAAATCAAAGCTAATACGAAACAACATAAGTTGTCTCAAGCAGTCCATTGTGGTTGGAAGCCTCTCAGGAATAATGCCTGCAGCCAGATGCTTTGATGCAAACCACAAAACACAAAGGCATCACTTGAAGGTCTTTAGCTAGCTTAATTAGCCAAGCAAAGGAATTATATTACAGCTCACCTTGAGAAATCTTCCATCCAAATACGCATTCGTCAGTGTATTCCAGCAGCCAAAAAGCTCTTGTAAGCTGATTCTCTCACCCTGTCTATGTTGTTGAATTCCATTTGGAAGTGCAAGATACACATAAGCTAGTTTCTTGCAGATCATGTAATTGTCCAATGCAAGATAATCATTTTCATAAAGAGTCAACTTTTGAAGCTGTGGAGCAGACACATTTAAATGATGGACACCAGAGCAATTCCTTAAGATCAAAATGACAAGTTGGGGGACATTTAGGACAGATGATCCAAAGGTGACCTCTACCAAAATGAGGCGATTAAGCTTACCAAAGCCTTCAAAAGTAGTTGGTGGTCTGAAAATACACCTAGATGTTTTTAAATAGGTAAGCTCAGAAAAAGAGAAAATGTAAGCAGGTAATTTGTAAGGACTGGAACTTGAGTTATCAAGAGTGAGTTCCCTGACACCTTTCCTTGATAGGAATAGCATCCACTGATCAACATCACTCAATCTCATTGGATGCAGCTCTGGAAGGTCAAGAACAAATTTCAGGATAGGTCCAAAGTGTTGTAAGAGTATTCTATTGACTATATGTACATAGTCATTGTTGAATTCGGAGGGCAATCTGTTTCGTGCAATTGAATTTGAAAATTGTTGATTAAACCGCAGATGCGGGTACTCAGCCAAAACATCTCTCCACTTGCTTGATAGAAGACTTGCTCTTGCAGCATCTCGGATGGGCACGCGATCTAGGATAAGATCGATAACATTTCTTGGGAGGCTTGAAATTCTATCTTCCATATCACCTTCAGTTGCAGTTGTTTCACTACTTTTGCCCATCATGGTTCTTATTATGGAGCCAAACAAAAAGAATTCCATCATATCGATAAAATGGGAAGCTAAGAACTTTCTCTTTTTAACTCACCATTTATTTATTTACTGCTTCCCAATTTAAATGTTTCTTTCCTTTCTTGCTAATTGTTGCAGAACAAGTGATGAATATTGTAATGAAAATGTCAACAGAACAACTATAAAAGTTCAGGATAGTGAAGTAAGAATTAACGCTTCTAAATAAAAATGCTTCAATTAGGTTTAAATCTAAGGTATTGGCTTGTCAATTTAATCAAATTCAACCTTTCAAGCCACAGTTCAACACTTCTAGGCTCAGATACAGCATTGTCGTTACCAGTAATTGGACTTAAACTACAGAAGGCCATTCAATATTACTTTTTTGCCTTGAGAGTCCAAATGCGAATATCTTTACTACTTATGTCAACAGCAGAGTGGAGAACCTCAGACATCTGAAAGTAATCTTACATAGGGTCAAGAGATCAGGTCTCATTTTCGCCATTACCACATTTTCTATAATAGCATATGTGCGACCTTTACATGAATAATGGTAGCCACGTAAAAGGGACTCTATGCTCTTGAACATCGGAGCTAAAAGCTGACACAGGTGCAGTGGTTCCCTAATCCCTCTTCCCATTTCCAACCAGAAAAGTGAAAAAAAGAAGAAAATATTATGCAAAAGCAAGGAAAACAAGAACATTAAGGTTATACCAACTAAGGATATCTTAAATTATAGCGGCTAAATTAACAACAAATTCAAAGAGCGAAACTTCAGGGATATTTATACTTACCAGTTAACATCAAGGCCAAAAATTTATAAGAAAAGAGGATTTCTTTCACTGATCATGCGGATTCACAGTAAATAATTAATCACTACCAAAGATAAAGAATTTTACTAACAAAGTTTTACAGGCAGCCAACATCAACATAAAAAGTGGTGCTGCATAATCCAGAACGAAGATTACCTGGGAATTCAGCTGCAGACTTAAATATATGAAAATCGCAGTCCCAGATAACAAATGTAATCTCTATTTGGGAGAATTTGGATTCTTTAGGAAATGGGGGGTTTGTTTATTTACTGTTCCTCAGCCGAGATCAGTGCGGTATCTCCGAGTCAATGCTAGTCAAGCAAGGCTCTGTTTGGATCTCCTGTTTTTGGAGTGTTTTTCAAAAATTAGTTTTTCAAATACAATAAAAGTTACAACAAAGTACTCTAAAAGATAATCTAAAAATTAATTTAAAATTTTTTAAAATTTTACCAAATATCTCAAAATAAAGTGCCAATAAAAAATATTCCAAAATATTTTCTAAAAATATTTCAAAATATATTCTAAAAACTCTGTTACAGCAAAATTTTTCAAAAACACTCCAAAAAACAGCTAATCCAAACGACTACCTATTTTTAGGCTGGCCACATTTACTGGAAAAGAGAGGCTAAAAGAAAATTATACTATTCAATTATTTTCCTTTTTCTTTTCTTTTGGTTGAAATATTTGGAAGAGTTGTCGGTAAGATTCATCAATCAAAATTACAAGGATGTTTTACTTGGAACAAATATTTATTAGGGAATTTGGATGCATGAGAATTAATTTTAATTTGTCAGCAGTGGTATACACGATTAGTATAGTAAACACTAATAAAAAAAATTATAAGCAATGATTACATTTTATTTTGGTACTTATCTTTGTGAATTATAATTCAATTGAACTGTAATTTTGTTGGAGTTGGGCTTAAGCTCCTTATTAATGTCATCTATCATGTTTCCTAACATCAATTGACTCGAGTGAGGGGGAATTGGCTAATAAAAGCTTAACAGTAAGCAGCTCTGGCTTTAAACCTCGGAAACTTCTCATCCTCAAAAATTTGCAGGCTATTCATTCCTTGACTGATGAGACTTGATGAGTTTGTATGACCTTACTGAGCTGTAAATGAGAGAAATTCTGTGATGAAATCAGTTCCTTTATAAGTTGTTCCATATAAGATGAGTGTTCCCATCCAGTAACCATCCTTAATCACCCAAATCTCCAAAGAATGCACAAAAACTACGCTGTTGAATTGCATTTGACAGTGCAACATATGTATATGCTAAATCTTTGCAGATGATATAATAGTCCAATCGGAGATCATCATTGTCAAAAAGAGCCAAGTGTTGAAGCAATGGAGCAAATACATGTAACAAACGGATCCCGGTGCAATTCTTCATGCTGAATATGAGGAGTTGAGGCATCCTGAGGAATGATGGTTCAAAGGTGATTTTGCTGAGAAAGAGGTGAGTGAGCTTACTGAAGCTTCCAATGGCAGTTGGTGTTCTGAGAACACATTTGGTCATGCGTAGATACTCGAGTTCATGAAAAGAGAAAATGCAAGAAGGTATTCGGCAATGACCGCGACTCGACTCATTGAGAGTGAGTTCTCTGACGCCCTTCCTTGATAGGAATAGAATCCACTGATCAACATGGGTGGTTCTCGCTGACTGCAGTTCTGGCAGGTCAAGAACAATTTCCGGATAGGTCCAAAGTGTTGTAAGAGGATTATATTCACTGTGTGTGGGTAGTCGTCGGTGAATTCCACAGGCAGTCTGTTTTGCCTGATCGCACTGGAAAAATGTTCATCAAGCACAAGCTGCGGATATTCAGCCAAAACATATCTCCACTTTCTTGATAAAATACTTGCTCTCGCTGCATCTTGGACGGGCAAGAAATCTAGGATATTATCTAGAACATTTTTTGGGAGGCTTGAGATTCTGTCTTCCAAATTTCCTTCCTTGGCTCTTTTGCTAAGCCTTGTATTCATGATTCTGATAATTGCCATAAAAAAAAAAAGTAACCCTGACAGATGAGAGGGTAGGTTAGTAATGGAATTCTATTACTAACTCACAATTGCTGCGTCAACTTTAGTCCTTCTAATTTTAATACGTTCTTTTAATCTCTTGCTAATGATTGTGTCAGTCCAAGGCAAAGAGTATGGTTATGAAAGAGAGAAATTAATAAGAACAACTTCGAATTATGGAGCAACTTCTTCTTGAATAAGTTAGTTCAATCAGGTCTACATGCCTAATTCCTGTTTTAGCTTACCATATGAAGTTTTAAGGTTTTCGCAGTTTGGCTAAGTTTGAACTTCATGAATCAAGTTCAAAATTGCAAGGAAAAAGAAAAAGAAAATTAAATTTAAAAAACCAACATAAGATAGACAAAATTATGGAAGCATGGAAGACGATCACCATTAACTGGTGGAATGATAAATAGATAAAATCTCAGAAATTAGAGATTTTGAATTTAAATTCCTTTTCTCGTTCTCCGCTTCTTAAATTCCACTCCACCTCTTAAAAGTTTGAATCCGAAACCTTTTACTTAGCTCCTTTCTTCCAAACCATCCACCCTAACCTTTCTTTGTTTTTTTTTTTTCCTGCTTGAAGATATTTTCCCAATCAAATTCTATGCGCTTGTGGAGGGTTATGTGTTATTTTTTTTGTTACTTTTTGAAGTATCTTTTTATCCTTATGATAATGCCTAAACGAGTCCAGTCATATTGAAAAAAAAAACTCCTTTTTTGTATTATTAGACCTGCTCATCCACACATTTTTTATTTTCATAAAGTTATTTAGCAAATTAATTTTATGAAAAATAGTTTTTACAAATAACTGTAATTTCTTTTATTTGCAAACAACTAAAATATTCTTTAAACACTACTTACATTAGTGGACTGAATTCATGCCACTCGTACAAGAAAATCTTCTAAAATCTTATAATAGTTGTATGCTATAAGCATAAATTAATTCTAAGTAAAATACATGTTAACCCCTTGTGATTTATCACTTTTTCATATAATCCTCTTATATTTTAAATGTCATGAATAATCTCCTCATAATTTGAATTAAAGTGTCAAAACGACAGAAATCATCATCTATAACGGAAACAATTGAAATGTTAGGATTACTCTCAATTTGAAACAAAAATGACTGAAGTTTCAAGATATATAAATGTAGCACACATTACACTTTAACTCTTTGTAGTTTAACATTTTTTGACATAATCATTTTATGGTTTTCAAAATCTAAACACAACTCCCCTATGATTAACAAATAATTTTCATCTTGATATATCGGTATTCTTGACATTTTAGACAATTTCATTACTGAAACCAAGTTCCATCACTTTAACACTTTAGTCAAAATCATGAGGAGATAAAGTGTAATTTAACTATTAATATTTTGTATTCACTGTGAATAAAGATGCATCCTCACGAGCTTCAAAAGGATACGATTCACAACATTTAGTAGAAAAAAAAAAATGTTATAGTGCAATTGCCCGCTTTAGTTGAAATGAAGTGCCTTATCTCTTCCTGACTCCCAGTTTTTGAGCCTTTGTTGCTTAAAGATCTTTCACTTTTTTGCTTTTCTTTTCTCTGTAGTGTGGAAACAAAATTAGCCTGATCAGTGATTCCATATGAATGGAAAATTGAAATTAATCAGCACGACTGATGCATTACACTTCGAAGTCCAACTTTTTGACCTATAAATTTGCAGTTAGGGTCTAAACCTTCAATTAATATTTCTGTCTTTGGATTTCCATTGTAAAGTTTATGCCAAATGTTCATGAATCTGAGAGAAGGAATTCAAGAGTTTTGTGGCAGCAGGTGGCTATGAAAATCAATGATCTTTCTGCAAATTGAAGCGGAGTATGCAGGGCTCTTCAGTAGCTACAATACCAAAATAAGGGGGAGAATGCAAATTCTCTTGTCACGACAAGAAGAAGCTACTCAAAATTGCACAATGGCGGTGAGGGGGAAGGGAGCAAGAACCCACAGTCAATCAAGCTCATTCCCCAAAATTTATGAGTAGGAAAATGATATTTGCTTTAGGTGATGACTGTGAAAGCTGCATCTTAAAACTGCAAAGAGCCAACAGCATGAAAAAAAGAAAAGAAAAGGAAAGAAAAGAATTGGTGCATCTGCAAACTACAACAATCATGTGAATGTAATCTTCAGCTAATCAATGATGAGGGCATTAGACGAATGTAATCCTTCGACGCAACAAGGCCTATATTATCTGAATGTCATCATAAGCTAATCTTATTAATCTTAACTAATAGCATATTGTTATCTCTTGATGACAAAATTTTCAAAAGTTTCCGGAGCAAAAGTTTAGTAACATACAATTAAAAGCATTCTGAAACAGAATACTAAGCAGGCCTGACTGTCCCTTAGCAACAATACCAATATAAGGGGCACATACAAGTAGCCTTGTCAAGGCAAGACCAAATTAAACACTAGTATAAAATCTACGATAGATTTCAAAAAGCTCTGGTTGGAAAATGATTTTTGCTTTAGTTGAAGCTCGTGAGAACTGCATCAGTTCTTTGGATATCCCCAGCCTTACAACAGGGTCAATATTTTTGTCCTCTTCAAGAAACATTCTTTCGATTGATGGGGAATTTGCAAGTAAAAGCTTAACAAAAAGCAGTTCATTTCTTGAACCCTGGAAATTGATCATCATCACAGTTTGAAGGCCCTCTAAACTTTGATTCATGAGACCTGGCTTTTCCAAGTAATCAGCAACTTTGATATCAGTGTGTACAATCTTCTTGGCCTGCAAGTTTAAGATTAAAAACAGTCCCTCTCCATCAACTTTCTATGATTAGAATGATAACTCTAGATATGATTATAAATATTCTTAATTCTTTACCAGAATCGCCAATTTACGCAAGTTGACGGCACTCCGGAGTAAGCAAAGTGTGCAAACAATCTCGTCGAAATTGTAGCCAAAATGAAACATTACAAGAATTGTCAAGCATTTCAATGTTGCTGTTGGAAGCTTCTCAGGAATGGTACTACCTGCAACCATATACTTTGAAGTATACCACAAGACATAACATCATCATATAATTCATCAACCTTAATTATCAAGGAATATATTTTAAGAAACAAACTGAAGTACCACCCCATAAATGATTCTCTAGTCACCTTAAGATAATCTCCATTCAGCCCAAGGTACTCGAGTGAAGGCCAGGGGCTGAGAAGCTTGGTCAATGAGATCCTCTCATTCTGTCTATGATGTTCAACAACTCCATTTAACAACCAAATACGTGCAAGGATTAACTCAGAGCAGTTAATATAGTGGCTCAATTCAAGATCATCATTGTCGCAAAAACTCAATCTTTTTAGTCTTAAGCAAGATATATTAAACCATCGAACACCCCAACACCTATTTATGCACAAAATGGCAAGTTTAGGCAGGGTGATTTGGACGGGCGACTCAAAGGTTATTTGAAATAGTCTGAGGTCTCTGAGCGTCCTGAAGCCTTCCAAGGCTGTGGGTACTGTTTTGCAGATACACTTTGAGATGTGTACTTTGATAAGCTTCGGACAAGAGAAAATACAAGAAGGGACACAGTAAGGAATTCGATCCGAATTATTAAGAATCAGTTCTTCGGGACCCTGCCTTGATAAGAAGAGCAGCCATTGATCAATAACGGAATACTCATCCAAAGGTAAATCTGGGACTTGAAGATCAAATTTGAGGATGGGCCCAATGTGTTGAAAGAGTATTTTGCTCACTGTCTTTACATAGTATTGTTGGAACTCGATCGCTGATCTATTGCCCCTAACATCTTCTGCAAATTGCTTGTTAAGCACAATGTTTGGATGTCCAGCCCAGATATATCTCCACTTACTGGACAAAATACTTGTTCTTGCCGCATCTCGAGTTGGAAGGTATACTAATATATGATCTATAACATTGTCCGGAAGGCTCGAGATTCTATCAAGAGAACACCCTTCCATGTCGATCCTTGTCCTTTTTTCTGAACCCATTGGTTCTAACCGACAAAAGAATAATTTCCATAGTGATTAAAAAAACAAAATTGTCCAGTAAAAGGTATAAGCAGACAATGAAAATCCCAAATTGAAAGTAAATGAATAAATTGAACATGAAAAGCCCAAATTGAAAAAAACCACTAGACCTAATGCATGAAAAAATATTCACCATGAAAATGATGAGAATACAAGATTCCACCTGGAACACCCGATGATTTCAACATCAAATTCACTACAGACAAATTTTCTCTCAAAAAAACAAACTTAAAAGAAGGGGGTTTAGAAGTATCTTACCAAATAGAGAAGAAACTGAAAATCAAAACCGGTAAATATATGGAGCTTCGTAAGAGATTTGCGCAACTAAAATTTCGTCGCATTTGTTTCACCAGCTGATCATGATTTCAAAGTCTCAAGTTCTCCTTTCTCTTAGCTCTCTGCTTTCTTCTTTTCAAAATTTTCCCTCGTTTCTTGCTTACGCTGTCGACTCATAGAGAGTGAGGATTTCACTTGGTTTTTACTTTTCTCAAGCCAAAATTTAGAGAGAATTGCTGTTTTGGTCCGACATGTTTAGGAAATGAGCTTTTTTAGTATCTAAAATTGAATGAAAACAAATGTAGTCCCCGTTCTTATGCACTTTCATTTAGTCCTAATCAGCTGATTTTGACCAAGTACTACCGGAATCAAATCATGTGCCAGCAGCTAATTGTTAAAAAAAATTAAAGAATTAATAAAATATTACTGGCCATATCTCGAAACACCGAGTGGACTGGGTAGTGAATTTACAGCGTGGGTTCAGTGGTATTTCTGTAATTTTATGGCAGACGTGTTCGCACAATTTCCGGGTCGTTCTATTAAAGATGGATTTTTTTTTTAATGAATGCCTACGTGCCAAATTACAATCACTACTGTTTTTCTACTTAATAATTGTTATTCTGGTTTCACACTTTATAGAGTAATCCCACCATTTTATGATTAATTCCTTGGTTGCAATTAATTTATTATTCTATGGAGGCGTCGTATATTTTTTTTATTTTTATTTTTTCTCTAAAATATACACACACATAGAGTGTACCTTGCCCACTTGTCTATCATTATCCTTTGCATCTAAACAATATCCTAATTCAATCTACTTTTCCAAATATATATATATATATATATATATATGAAGGACTTTGGGAAAGTCCAAACCAATATTTAAATACAAAATTACCTTGTTACCCCTTTGCGGTTAAGACTTTTAACTGATTCAATTTCTATTTTGAAAAATGTTATTTACACTTTATTTTTTGTTATTTACACTATCACCATTTGTTTTATCATACAATCTAATAAATAAAAACTATACAATTAAAACCACAGCAGGAGTGTGATTAACAAAAATGAGAAAGCAAATAATATTTCTCTTCTATTTTTCCTAAAATATTATTAGCACTTGAAAGAGTAACTAACAGTTGTAGGGCAGTTGATTCCGGTGCCTTGACTCCTCATTTTTTCATTTTGGTGAAGACTGAGTAGCAGCATATATGTTAAAAGCACTCAACTCTGCCATCAAGCAGGTTTTGAACCCTGACCATCACAACATTAAATTGAGGTTACAATTTCTTTCTTGCATTAATCTGGTGAATTGGTTAAAGAGTATTGCGCTGAAACAGAGAATCCCGGCAAGGCTACAAAATTTGCAGAACACACCCTCCTACCCTTCTGCAATGCACTCAATTAGAGCCTTGAAAGCCTTGACAGCTTCCAACATCTCAAGCTACAGATCAGCATGATTTATGACTAGCCTTCTTTCCAAATGAGAAGGTACTATTGCAAAACTCTGTGGTGTGACTGGACCTTGTAAACCAAAAAGATTTTCAAAAAGACAAACCGTAGCTCAACCAGTATAGATGTTATGATCCAAATGAACCAGTGTTGGGGAAGGCATCAATTTCGGGGTGCATAACCCTTAAAGAACAAGATTCCCAAGCCACCTATTGCAAATGTCAAAATGAGAGAGACTCCAACAGGATCAACATAAGCCGTCTCACTGCTCTTGTTTATTCTGGCTGGATGGGCTCTTTTTCCCAAGTTCTCATGAACAAGATTCCTAAGATTGTCCAATTGATGCATGATTTGGCGCTGCCCCCTGGCTATGTTGGATATCTGGCAGATAGTATGATGACACAGAGAAGGTTAATCATGATTAACACTGGTCTAGAATGCAAGTAAAACAGATGCGACATCTTATAAAGATGATATCACGAAGACGATACATCTTTTAACGAGCAGGAACAGTTAAGGACAAAGTTCTACGAATATCAACATTTAGAGGACTATGATCATGGATTGCCATAATAGAGTGTCTTCTAAATAGGTGAGTCCCTTGCCAAGGAACATATATATTCCCCGAATCTGGTCCGCAACATTAACCCATGTAAAATCCGGCCGAGCACTTGCATAAGACTGAATAAAAATGACATCTGCTCAAAATAAAGTTCAAATGCCAAAGAACTAAAGAAGCATATAATCCTGACATCCATAAGCATAACTGGAATTCAAATTTCAAAGTCATATTGATCTGATGACAGCACACACAAACTAATACAGCAGTATTCGTATTCACTGCCATCAAACCAGATATCACTTTTTTCCCTATAAGGTCAGTTCTTTGAAGTAATATATTTTAACCCAAACATCCTCTATGCAGTTCTCTTTCGATGGATAGCTATCTACTACCACGGCAAATCACGCGATAAAAATTGATAAAACAAGATAGTATACCTCTTCCATCAGTGGAGCATCCTTCCCTAAAAGGGAGGAAGATGAGGAACTCGGCATTATACCTCCAGTTAAGGAGCCATTCTCTAAGCTAGAAATAAAATGAGAAGTCGGTGCAGAGCCATTACAGGCTTCAGCTTGCGAAACCAAATTTTGTGAAGGTGGGGATGATCGTCTGCTGGTTAGCTTGGAACTAAATTCTTCAACCTGGGATGTGAAATCATCCATCCGAGCATTTAAAGTAGATATTTGTTCTGATAGCTGCATGATGGCCCCCTATTTTGATCCCAGGGAAAAAAAATAACCAAAAATTTTATAAGACAAGCAAAATCACAAAGGTCATTGGATTGCTGCTGCTAACAACAAGCTATCAACTGGCGCAACTGATTAGGGAAATATGCATGAGTTTACCTGGTTAGGTAATGGTGCCACTGAATCTGTTGTCCTGTCCTCAAATCTATGGTTATGGGAGGAAAATCCATTGGCCTTAGAGAAACTATTGTCCCTGTGGGTAGAATATGAATGTGACATACCCCTGGAAAAACAAATAAAAAAAGAACTTGGTATTAACATTCCAACAGGTATATATTGACATCAAATATAGAGAGAAAGAGAGAGAGAGAGAGAGAGAATCAAAAGCACATTAAGACATGCTGGCCAGAAAATGGAGATACAGAAAATATAATTCTCCATTGAAGGTTCAGGGCATTGGTGGATAGGAAGCAACAACAATAAAATCCAGGCAGAATCTGTGTACCAATATGCATGTGAATTCAAGTTTATTTGTTGTGAAATAGCAACTTGTTAGCAAAAGAAACTAGTGGAATTTAAAAACAATGAACATCAGCAATCTTTAACATTTCCCAGTGTAACAATGCGAATATAAAGATGTAATCCTTCTATCAGTGCTTATATCTGTCTTCAGACATCTCAACTGGAAACACCCTATAGGCATAGGTAATTGTGGTCAATCATGGGTAATTTTTAATTATGCAATTGCTATCAGAAAAAAAAAAAATCAAAGGAAAAAAATCTAAATGGAAACACTAGCAAACCTGGAGAAGAAAGTTGGTAGTCATCGTTTTCTTTATATAGAAATATCAAATAACAATAAATACATATAGAAGATAAAATCTGAAGGTCATGCTTTACAAGGCATTCAAATGATTGTAAGACAAACATCAGATAATCAACCTCTTAAGATTTTTATTCCTTTGTGCTACCCTTTCTGCTGACACTCGAGAAAGTGCTTTTTTAGGGCTGGAGACAATATCCTCATCTATGCTAAGCTTTGTCTTCAAATCATCTGGCAGAGCCTGCAAGACAGTGAGAATTGAGTTAGGGCCACAAGAAGGAGAAGACACCAACGAAAAGTGGTAGAACATATCATACCATAACTTCATTCACAAGCTTTTCCAGTTGTATTTGTTCAATATAGGTGCGTGGGGTATATGAACCTTCCAGTCCCAGCTGCTCTGCAACACTTTTTACAACAGCCCGGTCTCTTCCTTGAACCTTTTATGGAGGAAAAAGGAACAGAAAATAGCCATAGTTTCAGAAGTACTTCCAGTCTAACTAATCCATCTCAAACAAGAAGTTTCTGAGAGGCAACATAGCAAGATTTCAATACAACCCATTAAGGACACTGATGCAACCAAAAAAGTTCTTAAGAACAATAGCATACCAGCAGAAGTATGACAATTGAAAAGAACAATCAATTCAAGAGGCATTGCTTAGATTGCTACCTGACCATGCCAGTTATTATAGATATTATTATATTTCTTGTTTATTCCAAACATCTGAACTCTAGTAGATAAATTAAAATTGATGTGACACAATCAAGGAAAATATGTGAAGAGATGCCGAGATGACATGATTTCAGCTCTCACCTCACACGGCAGATTGCACTGCCTATGATTAATTTCCGTGCTAGATGACTAAATAATTTTCAAGACTTCATATTCAAGTAAACATAAAGCAAAGAATCTTGTCCTATTGGTCACTCAAAAATAAGTCTGGAGCAAGCCTCACATCTGCAGAGGGAAGGGGAAATATATTTGTTGGGCCCTTTTCTTGGGGTTAAGGATCAGGCAAACTATTTGGCATTATAAACATGTGGCATGAATTCTATTGACTATATAAATTGAAGGATCCAGAGCAAGCACATGCTGCTAATTTCATGAGTTACTAGAACACCGAAAGGAAAGTAAAAAGAGATTTTCAATGTAGGGGCATGCAATTGAGTATGAGTAGAAAATCTGCCCAAAAGGCAATATTAATGAGAAACAAGATATAGAGAGGAGCAATACCTGAATGTATTGACGGTTGAGCTGCTCCAGCCAATCAATTTTCACACAGACCTTATCATCAGAGAATACATGACTGCTTCTCTTAAGTATAGCTGCTATTGTGTATCCCAGGGCCATCAAACCACCAAGAAGCCGCACGCTAACTTCAAAAGTTATTCTTGGTGATATTACAAATGGAGAATCTGTGACCCACTCCTATGATTTCAGTAGCATAATAGAACTCGTCAATACACTCGCAACATTTTTTTGTTACATATATTGACCGCTCCCCACATAATAAAACAATGCTCCAAACTTAATGTATGAACAGCCGACAAATGAAAGATAACTACATTATCTGCTCTTAACTCCAAACTTCTTATCCAGTTACAACTTTCAATGTCTATGTCATAGTGCTACAAACCAAAAAAGCAGTCATCATACCATGTAAATACAACTACAACTGGTTTGACTCGGTACTTACAAAAGCACTATCGCATACATATCCTAAATAGCTCATCTGTTTCAGGACAGCAAACATTAAGAACCTCGGTGCACCAGAAGCAACAGATGCATATCTCTGTCATAACTAGCTAAACCGATATATCTTCCTATAATTGTAGTTACAAATAGCATTATATATCCAAACCTCTGTGCAGCATTTACTAAAGCATAATTTCATACTAGACCAGCGAAATGACAACCAAGCAATTTGAATTTTGGACAAATTACTTTTGCGCCATTCATCAGAAAGTGAGTAAAACAGGAACAAACCTCAAACATGAGATTGTACTTCCCATCTTTATTTCGCATCCTTAGGTATGATTGGCATGTCTCTGGATCCTCGCCAGGTGGAAGAAGATATATATCATAAGTCTGCTCCTTGATTTCTGCATGCTCTTCAGACAGCACAGACTTGATTTGATCAACTGTCAAACACCTTGATGACTAAAAGAACACGGATAGAGCACTTATACAATCGAAAACTTATATTGCTAAACTACAGAAGAACTAATGAATAGAAGATACCTTTTCTTTCAACAATTTATTGGCTTCTATTTCTTTTCTTTTTAGCAGTGATAAAGGTTGGACGAAGGAGACTAGGAAGAAAAGAAAATAAGTAAATTACCTTAAGAATATAAGTAGGACACTGGAATCCAGTGAAAGGATTGAACTTGTTAATGATTTTAATATGTGCAGTCTGGAGGTCAGGCTCAATATAAGCTTTATACATCGGATACACCTGTTTGAAATGTTACATATAAGAGCTTCTAGCATGCAAACCCAATTTATTGCATTTGTGCACTTGTCTGAGAAGGACAACAAACCGTCTCAGATATTTGGTGGATTATTTCTTCAGGCTCTTGTCCTGCTCGTTGAATGTCCCGTAGTACCCGTTTTACAAGGTCAAAATGAACACCCCCTGTGACGGATACTCGAAGATCCAATAAAGGCCGCAATTTCTCACTTAAAGCATAGATGCCCTCAATTATCACAATGCGAGAGCTTGGAACTTCAAGTGTCCTGCCACAAGCATGTTGCTTAAATCTATGATACCAAGTGCTCATACAGCAGAAATCAAGCAAATATGCACAAACTTAGTTTAGCTTATCATAAAAACATGGAATATTATCTCTTGCAGGAAAGAACAAACATAGAACAACTCTTTTGTATAATCAAACTGTCGGCCATGTTCTCAATCAAGAAAAGTTGAAGCGAACACCAACTCATAGAAGAAGACACTTTACAGAAAACATATTTTGACCAGATAGAGCTAATTCAAGATTATCCTTCTAATCATCCAGCAATTAAACTGGCGCTTAATGTTAGCTTAGTAAATTCCATATTACTTAACATGTATAAACAAAAGTTGTTCAAGAGTTCAAAAGCAAGGAACTAAACCTGTATCCAATGCGGGAGCTGGATTTGAAATCATAAATCGGAACCTCAACCTGCTTCCCTGCTTTAAGATCTTGGATATTCTTTAACAATGTCTCATAGTCAGTCAAGCGTGGATCTGTTTTAAGAGTATGAATTTACTGTCATGCACCTCAATCAAGTAAGATTTACTCATAAAACATAAATATATATAAAGTCCAATTCAAGTTTGTCGAAATTAAGTAAGGTGCTAGGTCATTTTCAATATATATCAAGACTTGGCCTATGAGTCACAATGACGTAACGCTGCCTATTAATAATAAACTTAAAAAAGAAAGCATGAAATGGATTATCACAATTATTGGTCCAATAAATGAATCTCCCTTAAATTGAGTAAGGCTTTCTTAACTTGGCAAACTAGGTCAATGACAATCAAGAATGAGGTCCGACGAAAAGTGCAAAGATATGTGGGTATACATCGTTGTTACAAGCTCAAGTAAGACAAAATCTCAATGTGAAGTCATCAAATTCAAGTCAAAAGAGTCTGAATAAAGTATAACAAGTAATTGAAGAACAGGTCTCACCATCGAAGTTGCCATCAACAATTCGGCTAGAATCATTATAATTGTCCATTGAGATGACTGCAACAGCTGGCATAAAATTGAGTATTTTCTCAGTAAATACAGTCTTTCCGGCTCCAGAAGGACCAGCCACGCCTACTAATAATAGTCCATCATTCTTTTGTGCCAGCAGCTGAAATGCCCGGATTACAGCAAAAAAGCCCTTCTCAAATGATAAAGGTTCCGGGATAGGAACAATTTCATAGCGATCAGAACCCCTTCTCCTTGCTAATTGAACTTGGTCTTTCAGGAGGCCTGGTTTTTGGTGAGTTGATTCAGATCTAGAAGCATCTTGAACCATTTTTATATTGAAAGCTTTTCCTCTGAAAATGAGAAACATGGACACCGTCAGAAAATTGAATAACTGAAAAAATAAAACAAGGCTGGTCCAGAGAAACAACCTTCTAAACTTATAATATCTTGTCAACATTCAATATATAAATAAAATGAGTTGAATTGCCCTTGCTGCCTTAAACTAACCCATAGAAGTGATAAATTTCATTGCTTCTCAACTATCAAAATTAGAACTTAGATTGAGATGCAACCTTCATGACAACAAACGAAATGCTAGCTACCTTCATTTTTCACTCAATCTCCAATACTCTATGTTGTAATAGACATCAAAATGACGACAGTGTCAAAACATTCAGTTGGAATGTCCAAGAACTAATTATATGCACTATAGTTCGAATAAAGTAATCCAATGATTCTTTTTCTCTGGGCACTGATTACTGAACCCTCAATCAGCCTATGCACAATATCTCACTGAGTGGGATAAAATCTTGTTTTTTTCCCACAAAAAAGTCGGAACTGTGCAAGTATTTCTTCCAGAAAATTTTTGCAGTCTAAAAACCAAAAGTCTGAAACCTAGCAAAGCTAATCATCAATAGGTAAACAAGTTAGATTACTTAGATTTATAGGCGTTCAACGAATTTCAATGGTAACTTTACCTATCATTTAAACAGATGTGAATTTCATCGCTCTCTCCATAAGAGATACGGCAAATCGCAGAACAATATACTTTAGATATGGACATAGCCAACAAATACTAACAAGATCACCACTATGAACTCCACTTGTTGACCTGATGATCAAGCCATCCAATAACTTAGCACTCAAAACTAAGCAAAAAAAAAAAAAGATCAAACTTAGACAAATTTGACTAAAAATTACACCCTCAGCTACCAGAACGAGGAATTTCTTGGCTTCTAATTTAAGGCTAAAAACTAATTTCACCATAATCCTAATCAGGTGATCTTGCATCAATATTAAATCACTAGCTATATGCTACAATTAGATAAGCAAAATTCAATTAGAACTAATATGTTATAACTTCTAGTGTGCAGTGCAACTTCTTTAAGAAAATGAACTGGATACTGAAACAGAGAATGTACTATATCCCTGTTATAATAAAGATCAAAGATCACATATTTTACACAGCAAAAACAAGGAATTCAACCGGAACAGTATTACCTAGACAGCAATCACAACGGAACCACACAAAGATCACCGCAGATAACCACCAGAACAGATAAAAGCAACAATCCCAGATGAAAAAAGCAGCCAAAGTGCAATTGAACACGAAAAACGTGACAGAAGGGAGCAAAAAACACGTACTTGATAATTGCACGGATCTAAGGAGGTAATGCTAACAAACAAAAGTGACCGACTTCGAACAGAAACCATCAAAAAAACAATCAAGAAAACAAAAAGAGACCCCAGATATTGAAATTAAAGGCCATGTTAAAAATGGAAACATGCCCACAAGATATTTTGGATCAAAATATCAAAAAATGATGTCAATGCCGAGAAAAAGTTAACGTTCTCTAGATACTGACCTGTGCTCTCTACAAAGGCACAGTGGGGTTCTCAGTTCTGCAAGAAGAGCGTAGAAGTCTTCTTCTTCATTTACTTTTTTGTCATGGGGCTGTGTGAGTCGCTGTGTTACGGTGTATATTTATAGGTGTCACTTGGGGAAATTTTTATTATTTCTTATTCTTATTTTTTTTTAATTCCTGTTTTCTTGATTTTTGTGAAATAATTTTAAAAATGGAAAGGAATGTGATATTGGGAACTCGGAATTGTGCAGAATTTGCCACGAGTTTGCTTCATAAATACGACCTTTCTTGTAGGTATTGAAGAATAATTATATGGCATTAATTTATAGATGTATTTTGAATAAATTTTTCTTTTTTGGAAAAGTTTTTGTTTTTCAAAAAAAAATTAATTCTTTTCTTTCTGATCTTATTTTTGGGATATGAGTTGTTAGACTTTATTCCATTTTTTTATTATTTTCATGAGAGTATGGCGTTCACCTGATACATAAGTTATAGGTGTTTTAACGAATAACTCAAGGGCATTCACTAATCTTTTTTTTTTAACATTGTTGATGGGTGTGACAAAATTATGATGCAAAGTGATGCATATTGGATCGGCGTTGTTAGACTTTTTTTCGTTTTTTATTTTCATGTTTGGCTAACAAGTACTCCTCTGAAACACTCATTAAAATAGGTTCAAGTGTTAATTTTTTTAGTAAAAATGATATTAATTAAAGAAAGTCTCTAAATGTAGAGGAGCAATAAATATGAGAATGTTGTTCACATAATACATATCTTAGATATAAGTTAGGCGTTTTAATGAATGGCTCAAGGGCATTTGTTAGAAAAATCTTTTTTTAATACATGATTTATGTTGTTGGCAAGTATGACAAGATTATGATGCGAAGTGACGCATATTTGATCGATGTACGATAATGATACGAAGTGACGCATATTTGATCAGTGTACGATAATCTCGTGATTATGATACGAAGTGATGCATATTTGATTGGTGTACCATAATCCCATGATAGTTGATATTAATTTTGAAAAATTTGACAATCTAATTATTGTTTGAGAACAAAATGTGTCTAATGATAAGTTAATGTTGATAATAGTTCTATGCAAATTTAATAATCTAATGATAGTTGGAGTGAAATAGTTTGTGCAAATATCAGGATTTAGTGATGGCTGGAGAACAATAGTTGGATTGTAGCTATACATCTTAATTTTAATACTTTGTTTGTTTCATAGTCTTTTGCTTCTTGTCCATATTGTATCATGCCAAAAGGAATTGAAAAATGTTTGTGTTGCAAAAATGGATAAATGCCTTAAACTATACATGTGATGAAATTAAAATGACAACTTAAGAACAATGCTATTGTAAATACTACAATCTAACGTACATTGAGAAAAACAATAATGTGTTTGAAAACAAGTTTGTAGGATGATTTAAGAACAACAAATATAATCTCAAATTCGCTTGAGTTCAATCTAAGGAGCTGCTTGAGTCTGAGTTGCATGCAATAAATAACCATTATTTCTCATTGCAATTTTTTGTTATTTTTCATTCTATCACCTTGATTTTAAATGGGATTCTATCAATTTCATTTAAAAAAAGAGACAATACCTGAACTATATACAACGTAGAAATTCTATATGGTCGTTATTTTATGTGAGACTTTGAAGATGAATTTGTGTAGTATGAATAAATAAAAGGTACAAATACATTTAAATCCTGCAAAAATGCGGTGAGTTCTCTACAAATTCTCAAGATTTCATTGGATGTCTATGTCCACGCTAAACTATTATTGTTCTACTTCTGTTTTATGACAGTAGGGTTACTTACACCTTGAATTTCCAGAAGGACATGAAAGTGTCATCGGATATAAAGTCATGTTCCAACAAGTGTTGGGCTCCATTGGGAACAAATGTTAACTATTTCTTTGTGCGTCTGTCTCCTCATTGAGATGTAATTCAAGTGTTAAATTTTCAGATTAATAAAGTTAATTAAGAAAGATACATAAATACAAGAGAGGATAATGCTTGTTAGCGGGTGAATTCATATAATAACTACGAATGCTCATTAAACATCTTTACACAATTTTTTTTACGATATTAAATTCATTACAACATAAAAAATAAATCATAGACGTCTCATATAAGGATGGAAACGGGGCAGGGGAGCCGGCCCCGTCTGCCTACTAATTCCCCCTGCCCCCTGCTCCCCCCACCACACCCCGCTTCCCCTGCTGGGGTATCCATGGGGCTAATAAAAATTTGTTATATAATTTTATTATAGTTAAATTTTAGCAAATAATCAAGTATTAAAATATCAACACATCACCAAGTTATTATTTATTGTAATTTTATAATTGAAACTCATAAAAATAATCAAACAAAAGTTATTTGAATGCAACCCAACATGATGAAATAAATACAACTAAATTAGTCAAGTTTTCACTTTTGGCACAAATACAATCACTAATTCATTACTGTGCTTGTGCTTTTTTTTTTTTTTTTAAAAAAAAGTGTTATTGTATTAAGTGTAATTATAAATTTAGTATAAATGTATTAGTAAATTTAGTATAACTAATTAATAAATTCTATTAGTAGACATATATAACTATCAATATAATTGATAATATCAATTATATTACATACACTAATATACATTATATAATACATAGAACTAATAATATCATTATCATAAATTTGTAACTAATTAAATTAAATATTATATATATAGTTATATACATATATATATATTTATTTTTTTTAGCGTGTGGCGGGGCGGGGGAATATTTCTAAACGGGGGGAGGGGGGAAAAATTCTCCCCGCCCCACCCTATCCCTCGCCCCATTAGCCCTCGTGGGGCGAGTGCCCGCGACCACCCGCTCCCATTACCATCCCTAATCTCGCATAGAATAGATGAGGTAACAATGGAAATTAAGGTCTATTAAGAATCTATTCTCATGTCTTTTTTTCTGGTCAAACATTAGATTCGTTGGAAAGAGTTATCCTCAATTGCCAAAATGGCAAGCTATTGACCCATGTAGATTTTCTTGCTTATTCTTGTGTCCAAGATATCGTTTTCATTTGTATGTTCCTCGCATGTTTTACAGCTTCTAAAATAAGAGTAAAAGGCCGTATCAATGTGCTTTATGCCCTAATTACGGTAATAAAATAATAGGCATAGATACCTTTTATATGATGCACCCTTTTTTACAATTACAAAGTCTTGCCAAAAGAGCCAATGAAGTTCGTTGCTTGGTTGACAAATTACTTAAAGTGTACAAGCAATAACATCTACATATATAAATATATATCATAGTGTTGGGCACAGTTAAGTGATTGGACTAGAAAGATCTTATGAAAACATCTTTGTCTTTCGACCCCTTTTCAAAAGTTCCATCAAATTTTATAGGCCACCCCACCACTCTACCTACAAATATTGCTCTCGGCCACGTATGGCTCTTAATTCACGAGAGCACGGCCATCATTATTGGTGGCTTGGAAAAGTCCCAATCAAGAATGATTCGAACAATAACACAAAGAGAATATGTGAAATTTGAAAGGCCATTCACCTTTTATCATGGAGCAATTTGGATGTGTTGTTGGCTTATGGGAATCGTTATAGGGTAAAGCTACATACGGAGCCTTGAGGGTCCAACACCCATGATCAAGTCATTTTCTTCAATTCTATTGTTGCTTGATTACTACCTCAAAATTCTCTTGATGATTGTAACTTGCTCTTTTTTAAGGAAAACCCTTTACCAAGAAATTGAGTTGAATGGCAAATGTGGCTTTTTGTCAAACTGGAGCTGTTCTATTGTTGAGAAGTACCTTGATTGATTGAGGCGTGGAGAATGAGGTTACGAACAATTCCAAGTTCAAGTTCCGTTACGACAAGCAAAATCTAGCTATATATTTTGGTCACTTTCCTATTTATCGTCCAAGAAAAAAATGAACTAGATTCTCTCCTGTCCTAACTCAAAGTCATGGAAAGGAGGAATTTGATAGTTTCCCAGATTAAGAAAGATGTGAAAGGGGACACGGTCCATACGGATGGGAATCTGTTGCTTGGATTGTTACTTTAATTAGAAACTCTGGTTTTTCAGCCACAAAAGAAAAGTATTGAAGCTGGACAAACTACAAGGCCAAGTTTTTGCCCGAAGACACATAAAACGACAGGAAGCCTCAAGCGTGAATGCTCCACCATGTTGGATTGGGCCACTGAGTAGCCTATACAGCTTGGACTCGCTTCAGGGGTTGAACCATTTCGTCTCAGGAGCCTTAATTTAAGTTCTTGCTCTTCTAAGCTTCAAATAATAGAAGAATGATCTCAATTCTCTACCCAGTCCTGGATATCCAATTTAATTTTTTTTGGGGGGTAATCTATCAAATTTAAGTTTTTAATTTATAACCCACCATTATTCGTTAATTTTTGTTCCTTGAATTCTAACTTTCTTTATTTGTGGTTGGTATTGCCTTGTAAGATGGTGTGCAGTGCACACTTCAAATTAGTTAATTCACACGAAAAATATTAATAAATTCAAAAAATACGGCTAATTGGGCACAGGGTTGAATTGTTAACAAGATTCATGTATTAGTCAACCACTTTATGTTATATATTGTTACGTTACCTTACAAGAAACATCTATAGACATATCCAACCACTGCTGACTTTCTGGAAATAGAATTGCATTTTTTTCCATGCCTATAATGAAGGAAAAAAAAAAAAAGGGTTGGGCTTAATAACCCCACAATTGTAACTATTACATAAAAATATTCGAGTGATGGCTCTGAGTGCTTCACAAAATAATTTTTGAATATATCTTATTTATTACACGGGGTATGATAAAAGCAACAATTTTCAACTCAATCAAATTAAGCCCTGTTAATGAGGCCTCTTCATCCAACACAAAAAGAAAAAAAAAAGAAAAAAAAAAAGAGAGAAGTTTTTGATCTAATATCTAAATTTGTAGCTTCATGTGTTCACAAATCTACAGTTCCTCCTAACTTCTCCATCGACATAAGTTTCAGGGTTTGTGATGTTGCCCATTTTCACCATGGATTGGGAGAATTGCTCAAAGAAAGCAAGAGGGTTTTCAGCGTAATTTTGGACTAGCCTTTTGGTTTCAATTCCAAGAATACTTGAATAAAGCTCTTGGTCTGAATTAATGAGTCCCTGTCCCCTCAATAAAATTTGGTAATAGGAGTTATCGAATAGTTCAGGGGTCTCATAGTCCATAGCTGATTCCTTGTTGTCTTCTCCACCGGCAGGAGGGCATGAAGATCTCAAGTTTTGCAGATATGCCTCAGAAATTGGATTTGCTTCTGAAGTGAGTGCGTAGTCTCCATATATTCTGTCCCTGAAATTCACACAACGTGCCATGCCAATGGTGTGGGCACCTGCCAAATGAAGAGGGAGAAACAAAAAAAAAACACACAGTTTTTGGATCATATATATACAAAGGTTGACAATTAAAACAACCTTTATAGTTCATGCATGGTGGCAAGATTCTTATATTTCATTTTCTAATCTTTCTTGCTGGATGGAAAATTTTATATCTATTCGATCAAAAAATTTATAGACAGTATGATCACTATTCACCGGTTCATTTTCATCTTGCAGTTATCTTGCTGAATTTTGGATAATAGTAATAGCTTTGAGTTTTGAAGCTTATTTTAATTACTTTCCAGCGTAATTGGAAAATGTGAGATGAAAAAGTAATTAAAAAATATGTTCACAAAAAATGTAGAAATTTTCTGGCTTTCCAAGTAAGACCAGAAAGGGAAGAAAGATGAGGGAAAGGGGAATTGAGCAGGGAAAAATCGAACCCCCTTGTCCTAAGATGACAAGAAAGACATCAACCACTGATTTATTTATTTTTTTCTTGGCACGAACTAAAATTATCAATGCAAAATTCTGCATCCACCAAAAGGTATTCTGGATATAACCTTTTTGTTTTTATCCTATAAACAATAAAGTACTAAATGAGGAGAATTTAATTTGAATAGCCAGATTTAATGATGCACAACTGTTTGAATCACTCCGACAAAAGATATGCATGATTAGAATTCAGAATTACTAATATGCTAATGTCAACTGTTCAAACTCATGGGGATGACAATGATTTGATGCACCATGCATACCAGAGAGAGCCACCATGTCAGTGACTGAGAGCCCTTGCTCCATAAACTTGGAAATGATGGAGAGAAGGCCATCAGCTGCAGTTGGAAGATTGATACTTGAGAGCTCATAACCGGCAGTTTTGGAGTCTTTTCTACCCAAAGGAACATCCCAATACGGGCCACCTACCTAAATATTCCAAACGAATAAAACATACCAGAATTATCCTTCAAGTTAAATATTTTAAGGGGACAATGTCTACATCAATTAGAAAGGTCCTACTGTAGATGCGTGATTTACTTTTTCTGATTTTTGGATTGACTATTAAATGCCCTTCAAAAAAATTCTCAATTTTATGTGATATTGCACAATTTTGAATTTGTAAATCTTGGAAGTCACTGCCCCTTCCATCCCATAATAGATAGAAATTCTTAATCTACATGCATGCAATTTAGGAAAACCAGTTGATTTCTTTAGGCTGTGCATCGGATGTGTATCCGTTTTGATAACTTCAGTTTACCAGCAGAACTGCATCTCTTGCTGCAACAGTGAGAATATCAGCACAAGAGACTATTCCTGGGCACTCTGACTCCAGTAAGTTCTTTATTTTGTCAATGATTCTGAACCCCTTTAAAGCGTTTTTGTTAGTTGGTGCCTCCTTTTCTCCTTGGAGATCGATTGTATCATCCAGCAGAACTGACCCATCGCAGCCCTACAATAATAATTCCAAAAAAAAAAAATCAAAATCATAGACCACTATAAAAGAAGCAATGATCAGGGACAATGTTTCCTTGCAACGAGATCAGCTGAAAAAAAGCAAATAAAGGAAGTGAAAATCTTCATGTCTAGGCAAACGAAGTTTTGGTCCTAACCTGAACGAAGCAATCATGGAAATGTAATCTTAAGATCAAAGCTGCATTACGAGGATCAGAAAGCACAGCACATTCCATTTCCTTCCTAACAAGTTCCAGCACAGCTGGGCATGTTTTCTTGTAGTAATCTAACGTTAAAGGTGGATCACTTGCATGGACGTGAACGCTGCAAATGCTGACGACCACAAGTAGTAAAAGCGTCCATTGCACAGATCCCATTCTTGAATCAGGAAAAGGTGCCAAGTTTTTTGCTTGTTTGCTTTTCCACTGAAAAGGGAAGACGCAAAGATTATGAAATATATTTGCAGGTTGAGAGTTGAGACTGAGTTATATAGGTAAGAAGGTTACAGCAAGAGATTTGCATGGACATGGATTTAGTCAAGGCTTTTTGAGTAAAATTTGTGAAGGTTCTCATAGTCAAGAGAGGATGCAACTACTATTGGTCTGGTTGGTGAATAATCCCAAACTTTTTTAAGTCTGTAATCCATCATATACGCAAATTTTGGGCAAGCTACCAATCACCTTTGCTCATATTATTTGATGTCTCCATTCCCCAACTTTTCCAGGAAACTGAAAATCTCAGACACTTGCACCTTAGTTTGTCATGCAATACTCTTAATAAAAACAAGAAGCAAAAGTTCTCAACTGCTTCAAGACAAGAAGTTCGTTTGTTGAATCCATTGCCCCTTTGGTCCATCAAGTGAATAACAGCTAGGTAAAAGAGTCCATATCACACGGTTACTGCTTTTGGTTAACATGCTACATCTGCTTATCCTATCGTGTAAAAAACAATGTAGCATAATTTCAGCAAACTGATTTACTTCTCACTAAAATGCAACCACTCTCACTTGTCAGGGCCGCCTGCAGCTTACTTATTGAAAGCAGATTCTATATCTAATTCGAAGTCAATTAACACGTTAGCCTTCTTAAGCTTTCTTTATAAACAAGAATTCCAGCTGAATTCACCGAATCACCGGATTTGATGGTTTTGTGATTTATCTAGAACCCAGAAGAATATAGAGAAGAAAATAAAAAAGAATTAGACGAATTAAAATTTTTCAAAATAAATAAAAGGGATAATTTCAGAAACCTCCCTCGAGGTTTTTGACAATTTCACCTAGTACCCTTTGAGGTTTTCAATATTACACATACTTCCCTTGGCCCTACAAAATGACCATAATAGCCTTAACATATTAATATTTTTTTCATGCAATTAAACAATCCACTCCTAATCTTGTTCATATGACTGCATCACACAATTAGACATTTAATGGAAACAAAAATAAGGTTCACTCGTGGAATAACCAATCATGTCCTAAACACAATAATAACATATTAAAAATTAATTTTAGCTTTGTTTGGAGGATTTGGAGATGAATAGAAGAAGATATAAATTGGGATTAAAAAGGATAGGGCTAGTATTGATACTCCAATATTTGAGAAATAGGATGTTATATTGATGTGGTTATTAAAATTTTTTGAGTTTAACAGTGCAATTTTTTTTAAATTTCGATTGAGGTTTTAGAATTTAGAAATTGATGGTGGTAATGGTCATGGTGATAATAGTAATAATTTGAAATGTGGTAATATTAAAGGTTTAAAATAGTAGAGATGAGGATTGAAAATGAGTCTGAGATTTTGTTCATGTTCCCTAGTTTCAAAATAATTATATATGAAGGTAAAATGAACTTTACAATTTCACGAGGGCATTTTGGATTATTCATTCAAAATTTTGTCCATTAGATAGTTTTTGTTACGAAAACAGTAAACTCGGGGAGGTATATGTAACCTCAACTCAAGGGAGGTTTCTCAAATTATCCCTAAATAAAAAATTTGGGGGGGGGGGGTGTTTCGGGGTGGAGGGGGATGGGAGTGGGGAGAGAGAGATCTTGATAATCATGTGCCAAAAAACATTCTACATTTTGCCCAGAATAGTGTTGGTTGGACATTAAAGACTTGAGCTAAAGCTTTGGTAAGTAGCAGGGTCACTTAAACCATGGGCCAATCTGATAACTTATGTTAGACAATAGATGTCTCTTCACCATTTAATAGAAACAAGATGTTCAAAAGGATCTAATAAAGAGCTCGAACAAGACATTTCGAGGGGAATGGTAGCACATCTTATCAAACTCTTCCCAGAGCTCGCAGCTTAATATAACATCCAATCCACTGACGCACATTGACACATGTAGCCCTGAATTGGAACAACTTGAAGTTACGGTAATATAAAGCTGACAACAAGTGTTACTCCAGTATTGAGTCAGAAGATTTTCCAAATTAAAGAGGCATGATCAAAATGGCAATTTTCACGTACAAAACAAGCTTAGGAACTAATTATTTCATGTATACAGTTCAGAATCAAGATAATCTTTTTCACGAGCAATCCTTAAAAATGAATCCTCATCATTGCTATTACTAGCAAGCTCTATTCCAGGCAAGACCTTGAGCAGCATATTTTTAATCAGCGAATTTGATGAAAAACCAAATTCGGGCCATGAAAGACAAAGGCTCCCTCTAATCTTCCTCAACTGACATTGAACCAAAAGAGCAGCTGCCAAGCCATCAACCATGCTTCCTGATGGCAAATAGTCCAATCCAGTTATAAGCGGCGAGTTCTTGCTGCTTCTTTCTAAGGATGTCTCCAGCTTGAATGCAAATGAATCATCCCTTGAAAGTTTACCTCGGAAGTTACGACTCTGAACAGACTCCAGAATCAAAACCCTCTCCGGGTTGATCTGCTCACCTATCAGCAACTTTGCCACAGCATGAGATCTCTCTGCTGTAACAGGGTACTGGACAGACACAACAACAATTGACTCATCGGCATTATTGATGGCATATATGTCACAGGATTTATCTCTAAGAGAGGGTTCGACTGAGTTGCCAGAGAAAGGGATCTCAGGGAGAATCAAAGTTCCAATCCGTTTTTTGGAGGATACATGATGAAAGAAGTGAAGTGATGGAAAGGATATTGCAACTACAAGGAGAGAAGGGCGGAAAGGTTTCCCATTGTTGGAAATGGAGAACAGAAGGAATGGAGAGGGAAGAGGAGGTGATGGAGGAGTAAAGATGTTCAGATCTTCCAAGAAGAACCTCGAAGGAGGAGGAATGTCCGTTATCACATCTTCCATTTCTCTGTACAAGTCCTACAAACTGCAATTGATTTCTTACTTTTAGGAATCCACATTATTACTCAAATACAAGCAGAAAGGACAAGCTCAGAAGATCAGAATCTGTCAGGAAAAACATGCGAGCAAATAAACAGAATAACTAGTAAATGGCATGAACCATCTGTATTTCAAGGAAACAAATTCTTTCCCAGCCAAAGTTTGGGAATCTCCGTTATTAGTCCTTTTGCAGCAAATGAGTTGAGATTCTCTAACTTTATTACAACTTTTGAGAACTCGTGCTACTGAATATGCAGAACAAGCTTGTATTACATTATCATCATAGCTGAAACTGCAAAACATTCTTTTCCACGGTATGATGACCTCTAATGTAACTACAAGTCCTTGCCTGGGTAAAGCTTTCCCATTTTGAATAGTCTTATTAAAGTAAGTCATAAACATGGAAGAACTTCGTGAGTCATGAAAACATATCCATCAATTTTTCATACACCACATTGTATCTTGATGATTATTATGCTGAATTGGAGCGTGTTTATTGGGACAACCCAAGTGAATTAATTCAACGTGACATACAGAATCATATCATCTTACATGATGCATTTCCATCGAAAAAGCAATTCATAATAACCACAATGCAGAAAAATCATTGATGTTATCACAGTCTTATTTGCTGTCAATGTATATTCACCCATGAGGCATTGCTGTGGGATAAAGCTGAAACTTTCAACATACCTAGAGTTACCACAATGATAATTAATACTCAATAAGTTAATAATCCCTAGTAATTAATAAATTTCCAAAGAAAGCGTTGGTTCTAAAATCCAAGAATAAGGTTTGCTTTTGCCTCTCAAGTAAGTTGAATTGCTTGTGAGTAGCTCAGGTGAGCTCAAACAATAGTACAGCTCGACTAGGCTTCAATCCGGTTCAAGCGGCATGAATAACAATTCAAGTGGAGATTCAGCTCCACATTACCAAGCTTGAAGATTGAAAAGGCTAATTGAGTCCATACATAATCAAATTAAATATACTTTCTTAAGGTTTAATTAGCCCCTAGTGAAACCCATAACTTTAGCTTTACATTAACAAGTATAAGCCAAAATATATACTAAGTGTCTTCTTCCACGAGATGCAGAAAAGAATACATGTCGGCGATTCATTGGAGACGACCACAAGCAATAGTGTTATTCCATATCCATTATTCAGAAAAAGGATGAACTTGGTTGCTAAGAATTGGACAAAGCCTATATTGGTTCTTGTTAGGGTAATTATTAGAACTACTCAATCCCAAAATGAAGAATTCTCACAAGTCTCTCTTAATCTAAGCAAATCATTGGAACTTGAGCTATTCATACTTAATACCTCAGCTAATTCAGAACAGCAGTTCATACACTAACTCCTGTTCAATTCCAATTTCATCGAAAACCCATAAGCAGCCTATGCATTTTTGCTTTCTCAAAATTCTTACTATAATTGGTGAGGATATTAAAATTGTGCAGCTTAGAACCATTTTTACTGATTACAGAGATCATTAACATACTGAGTATCAATTTTCAAGTGTTACCTCTACATATATAGAAATCTCCAGCTTTTAATTTAACAGCAATGCCTCATAGATTATTCTCAACAAAGTTTCACAAATTCAGTAAATTAAAAAAAAAAAAATACTTTCCCACCACGAATTTTTCATTAACCCATCCTACAAACAATCACTCAAATCTGAACCCAAACCCGCAATGACAAATTAAACTTGCAAGAAATTACATCCATCAACACAGCTACAAATCAATCTACTAGACCAGCTTACTGGGTGCCGATAAATGATAGAGAAAAGACTTACTTAATCGGAGCTAAATGTAGAAAACGACACCGTCAGCGAGTAACTAGGCTAGACCAGCGGATTCAAGAAGGAGGAGGAGGAGGTACTAACTAGTTACTACTACTTGCTACTAATGTGAAGAAAGTGGGGGAGGAGGGGTTTACCTGCTACCGGCGGTGATGGTAGCGGCTTGGGGAGAAAGTCAACTAAAGAGGGATTCGTCAGCCTGCTAGTAAAAGATTTGTCTGACTTCTATTGGAACTTTGTTGGATTGCTTATGAAGCCCGGCTAATCATTAAATCGATGCTTAGCCCAGAAAAAATCAGCCCAGTCGTTTTAAAA